ACCAACCACTGAGAGGTATGAAAGGGTTGCTTCATTCAGGAGGCTTTTGGTTTTGGTTTAAAATACATTAATGTGAGTTTTGGAGATTATTACGCTATCTGCAGTGACACCCTGTGGTGATGGAGCAGTAGTTTATCTCGGACCTTGTTATCTCAAACAAACCCAGATTTCAGTGACTGGTCTGCTGCCTGCAGTCATTAGCAGGTGGAAATATAGAGCTGAAAGGTAGGTTTTCTTGGTAATGAGTAGCATTCCTTACAGGATATGAGGAGAGAAGTCTTTTGCTGTCACTGTTATAATTTATCCATTATTATTCATACTGTTAATATTTCTAAAAGCTGATTTCATGCACATACTGCCTGGCTTTAACAGAAAATAAATAAATGTGAGATTATAAATTGCATATGAATATATATCAATTTAGTTTAAAATGTAAGGAGAAACCATATATAGTTCCAAGAGAAATGCATTCTGTATGAAAAAAGACCTAGTAACTTGTTAACACCTGTATCATCATAGAATGGTTTAGGTTGGAAGGGACCTTTAAACACCACTGCAATGAGCAGAGAAATCTTCAAGTAGATCAGGTTGTTCAGAGACCCATCCAGCCTGACCTTCTACCACCTCTCTGGGCAGCCTATCCCAGTGCTTCACCACCCTCATTATAAAAAATTTCTTCCTTAAATATGGTCTGAATCTACTCACTTTTAGTTTAAAACCATTACCCTCTGTCCTATCTCAACAGGTCCTGCTAAAAAGTCTGTCCCCATATTTTTTATAAGCGTCCTTAAAGTATTGAAAGGCAACAGTAAGGTCTCCCCGGAGCTTTCTCTTCTCCAGGCTAAACAATCCCAAATTTATATTTTGAGTAAGTTGCGTGAGTTTTCTTCTGTTATGGAGCAGAGTACCAAAAGTGTGGATTCTGTTCTCAAGAACAGACTGTTTCTATGGGACTTACCAGCATCAGCACTTGACTTGCCTTTTTTTCTTTTAACAAAATGAGATTTGAACTGTGCACTCTCAGGGGTTGTTGTGGGGAGAGGGAAGACTAACTGCATTCAGTGTAAGGATTTGCTTAGCCAGAAGCGAGCACTTGACCTGGTATAAACCAGGCAGCATGGACTGCCTCCCCAGTTTCATCTTGGGTCTTTATTTTCTTCATCCTTCCATTGGTGAGCATCAAATGCATTTAAAAATTTTTAAATTTTTTTTTTTTTTTTAGTTTTGCTAGAAAACAAAACAGTAGAAGTTGTCTCCTATACCATCTTTGTCATTGATTTATGAAAAGTCTGTGGTTCTGGTGGCTTTTCAAATTGGCAAAATACTAACTTTTAATACTTTTCAAAAGCCTTTTAGACATGATTTAATCGATGATCCAGTTAGCTATGCAAATATATGTATCTTCAGGTGAAAACACAGGTGTGTGCGTTCCAGCTCAGCTTGGAAACTGCAGCCATCCTTGGCCTGAAGGCCTTCCCCTGGGAAGTGATGAGCTGTTCCCATCAGTTAGTATATTCAAAACTGTGTAATACTTTCATGCAAGTGTTTTAACTCAGCCTTTCACCATTGTTCTCTGTGAAGGTCTCCATATTTAACATTATTATTTCCTTCTCCTTCTGGAAAAATCAGTTGTCTTCCTCACACTTCAGAAGTTTGTTGAACAATATATCATCCCAAATTGTTTTTTCAACAGATACATGTTAGGAGAAAAATGTATCAGGCCATATCCAACAGCCCAGAAGAGGTAAAATTGCTACAGCTCCATGTCCCCAGGTCCAACCAGTAGCAAGGCTGATGAGTTTCCAGTAGGCACACACACCCAGAGCACACATATATACCACACACATACACATATACTTGTCTGTGTGCTGGTTTTGGCCAGGATAGAGTTAACTTTCCATGGGCTGAGAGGGAGCACAGCTGAAGGGCCCGGTCCCAGTGGATCATTGGAGCATTCCATGTCATGTAATGTCATGCTCAGTATATAGGCAGATGCCTGTTTTCAGTTTCTGGATCGGTGGGGCAGGATTCTCTGGTGCAGTCAGATCACTGCTGGGGATGGGCTCTGTACCAGTTGCCGCTCAGTGAGGCTCTACTGCGTTTTACCCATTTTAGACTACTATGGCTACCGTTGTTTTTGTTACTACTACTAAATTTTTTTATTCAACCTACAAATTTCTTCTTTTGTCCCAACAACTGGCCACGTGAAATTTGCTACTTTGAATTCAAACCACAACAGTATGTAATCACACACAGTGATAACACAGACACTCAGAGTACCCACACAAATACAAAGCATCAAGACCCTCATCCTCCTCCCCTCTGACTGAGCAGAACAGGGCTCCATGGGTGGGAACATACATGTCTATAGACATTCAGCCTGCCCTGTAGCTGACCCTGGAGCCCAGTATCCCCCGTTGCTGGCACCTGAACATACAAGCCCTTGAGGCCACCGCTTCACTCCAGTTGACTATCTCACTCATGCAGACACATGCAGGCATGGAGCTGGCCAGGACTCTCCTGGTCCCCCACAACAGCCAGCTCCTCCTGCAGCCTTACCTGTAGACATCCACCACCACTGGCTCTGAGGCCCTTTCACCTCCTGCCCGGCCTGATCCTCGCTGGTGCTCACACACTCACTTGCACACCCAACCCCTGCTCCAGGTGCTGCACCACAGGCACAGGGTTCTGGCCCTTGGTCCCACCCCTGGGGCTGGCACTTGGTCCCACCCACTTGGGTCTCCCTGGTCACTGGTGCACAGGCCTTTCAGCCCATGGTCCCAGCCCAGATGCTGGAATGCAGATCTGTGCTTGCTCCAGGTGCTGGCACCATGGGCACATGGGCCACTGTGACCCACGGTGCTACTCCCGTTGCTGGCCCATAAATCAGGTCACTCCAGTCACTGTGCCACAGAGACACCAGTGCTCTGACTCCAGGTGGTGGCACTTGGCCCTGTCATGGACACATACAAAGCAGAGTCCCCCACTCAGGAAGTTAAACCAGAATTTAGTAAGTCACTGTGCTGCTCAGGCTCAGGGCATGGCCAGACAAGCATATTGACCAGGAAATTACTTATGTGTGACCAGCCCTTTTTATCACCTTACACCTCTATTTTCCCCAGCTGGTCCTCCCCAAATCATCTAAATCCACCCCTTTCCCTGCCTTTGGTTCTTTCCCTAAACATCCCATAATAAATCCTGTGCAATCCCCAAACGCTCTTCCCCTGCAACCCATGATGGGCCCCACCATGACATGAATGTGCTCCTGCATTGACTCACCTTGATGGGTTTTACACCTGAGTCCTGGGGCTGAGGCTCTCCTGGGACAGCTCTGGGAGGAGCCCACACAGGGTGCCCATCCCTGCCCCAAGTCCGTAATTTGTGTTCCTGTGCAAGTCTGGGTTTGTGGAGATGAGCCATTGATGGGCTGATGGCTCCTGCCATGTGCCTGGGAGTAGCCCTGCAGGGCAATGTATTATTTAAGCTTTACCTCCTGCCCTTGTCTTTCTGTGCACCTTTGTGGGTGTGCAGACAAGCTTTCATCACATAACCCAAAAATAAAAAGATAGTTCAACTGCCCCTTTACCAGTGGGGCCTGCTGTAAAACTGACATGTGCTTCCTGCCAGGTTTTTAGCATAAATCACCAGTTGCTTTCTCTTTTAGCTTCAAACTAAAGCAGCTTCCTCTGTCTCATTACACCATGCAATCCCTCCTTTCACCTTGTTTCCAGTCCTCTCCCTTAATCTCCAATTTTTCTGTGATTTACCCAGTCAAAACCCATAGCAATGATTAACTGGCAATTGCGTCTCTATACTACGGCCTTCATCTATTTCTGTGTGGTCCTCACATACTGAGCACCACCCTACAAGACAAACATTTAAGTTGTCCTATTTTCCTCATGTCTTTCTGAAAAGCTGACTCTATTAGAATCTTCCATTCCACTACCTCTTTGACAAATTCAACCTTTAGTCTAGATAGATCACATTTTCCCAATTACTGAGCTCATGCTTAGCTCACCAGCTCTAGTCAGACATTCAAGGACATTCTCACCTCTCGCTCTCCATTCTCCAAGAGGCTCTGTCTCTACCACACGTCCCACTAACTGGAACACCAACCCTCAGCTAGAAATACCCAGAAGTCCTCCTGGTACTGTGAAGGAATTTACTGACTTGGAGTAAAACACAGCTGTTGTCCTGAGAGGAAAGGACTGACAGGAATATTACCTCTTTCCCTAAGCTGTACCTCTACATCTTCCTAAATGACTCATTGCTCACCACAGCTTAACTTTGATTTTGTTTTGCTCCATGTTAAAGACTATTGGAAAGGTTGTAGAATCATTTTTCCTTTATAAGACCAAGAAGGATCAAGACCAGAACCTATTAAATCCAAGGGAAGAGCAAACTCTACGGCAGCACTTTTTCACCACAAAATAACTGAGAATTCACGGAACATTCCTATTCCCAATTACTTTGAAGCAAATTAACAAAGTTCTGTCAGTCATTTACAACATATAACTGTGCAGCTGCTTGTTGTAATTCACAACCTACATATAGTATTTGAAAATGCTACTTTTAGCTATGTTTAACAGGGGCCTATTTAGTTTTTCAACAGAAGCGTGTGGGTAATTAGTCTGCCTGGAACTAAAGCTTCAATCAGTTAAAACAGACTAACCCTCTCCCACAAAACATTTCTACGAGAGAGACAAGATACCTCCTATTCATCTGGCAGTCACAGAGAACTCATCTACAATGTTTAAAATTGCCTCCTCTGCATAACTTTTGAACCTGCACTTCCCATGTCTCAGTCACTACTCTTATTACCTGACTATACCGTAGACAATGCTTCAAAGCAGCTTCTTTTCAACTTCAGATGTAAGGCAGATGGGAAAGGAAAGGGAAAGTATTTTGAGAAAAAGGGACATAATTGAAGTTAAAATTAATTTGCAAAAGCTAGCAGATCTTAAACAAATAATACACACAGGAAGGCATGATACAATTTAGGAAACAGTATTTAATTTAAAAAAAAACCCCAGATGCCTCTGGAAGTGACCATCAATTTGCTAACATTGTTTATGCTACAGAATTTCAAGAGTTTTAAGTCTTGTTTTGTAAGTACCCTATAATCATTTACCATTCTGTCTTCCTCTCAAAAACATGGCCACAAGCTGAAACATCAATAAAAATGTTTTATAATTTTGTAAAAACCTGTCCCACAAAATTTAGAGTCAAGAAATACAAATTTACTATTTGTTAGCATATTTTGGCTAAAGTCATGTAATTAACTCAAATTGATTAAAGAAGTGAAATTTATCCAGTATCGCAAATCTAGGTTTCCACACAGATTAAATGTGGTATGCACACAGCACAAAGGAAACCCACTCTTATTTATGGCCAGAAAGAGGAAAGCAGACTAATCAGAATGTAGACTTCTTTTTGCACTGATTCTTATAGCCCAAAATATGCCCCAACAGCTCCCCCACTTAAGGAGCTGCAAAAAAAGGAATTCTGCAAGACTGGTCCCTTAGTCACTCAGCTTCAAGGTCAGAATACAAAATTTATTTTGAAACAGCTACCATGTTGATATGATTGCTTTACCTAAGATTCCATACAAAAAGTTATAAAATGATCAGGAAAAAATGGACTCTATTCTAAAGGTGCTTCCTAATTGTATGTAAAAAAAGAAATGGCTGTTTTCCACCATTTATGCCCTAAGTTATAAAAACAGTTTAGGTTATTTATAACCTAAACTTTAAGAATTCGAGTTAAGAAGAAATGTATGACACCATCACTATCATATTATCATCATTACTAAACATATCACGTCCTGAATCTTTTTCCTACTGGCAAAGATATGAAATGAAACTATTTACAAGAACTGTTTTTTTCTCTACCCCTTCAAAGTGAAATGTAGCACCAGATAGATCTGATAAGTGATCTGATCTTTTTTCAGTCTCCTCTTCCTAATTTTTCAAGATACTCAGAGCACAACTTTCAAATTTGCCCATGCTTCAGCTACTCGTTTGCATTTCTAACACAGTCATACTATGTTTTACTTTTAATAATGGACATAGCTAACTTTGAGACAGTTCATTATGCCACACACAGTAGTGAACAGTAATTCAGATTTAAAAGTGGTATTCCATACTAACATTGTATATAAATTACAGATAAAAACATGAATGGAAAAATTCCTTTATCAAGGGAAGTAAAATTCTTTGGTGAGCATAGAGACAATGCACGGAATCTGTTTCTTTGCATTAAAATCCTGCCGGGTTGAGCAGGACTCATACTCTGCCACTCTGCGATTTACACGAGTTAAAATCTGCATGAGTTCAAGTTTCCTTGCATGTTCCTTCAGCATTTTACACAGTGACTGAATAAACCAGGAGCCTTCAGCTGAATTCCTCCAGGAGTAATAGCCTGTGGAAGAAAGAGATGTCAAACTGATCAGATGTAGCAGCCTCTGATACAGGACAGGATAGCAATTACGGGAACAATGCATTGTTTCCAATAGGAATCCACATTTTAAAATAAAAACTTAAAACCACTAACTAACTAACTAAATACAGATTTTTATCATCTCTCCAAATTCCAACTCAAAAGATTTTTATAATCCTCTCATCTTTTCTAATCTAAGAGAACTTTAAGTAGGTAGAAAATCAAAAGGCAGGAAAATTATCTGCTTTGCAAGTCTCTCACCTGGAGCTGTAGAATATGCATACAAGAAGTCTGCTTCTACTGGTATTTTTTGGCACATTGTTTCTTCTGATCCACTGTCTGCCTCAATACCAGAATCCAATTCTGTCCCTCTACAAGCCTATTTAGTGGGAAAAAGAATGGAAAATAAAATAAAAAAGAAAGGCAGTGATCATGAGCAGAACACTGATTTTTGTTTGTTTGTTTTAAATAATATCCTGATAAAAAAACTGCAAAAATAACAAGAATTTATAGATCACATTTCCATTAGACAGGCTCAGTAAGATAGATATTCATTCAAAAGTTCTTTCAGAAACGCACTACGATATTGAATAGTGTTCAGAAAGATTTTACTCAATCCATAGAATTAAGAGAATGCAATCTCAGCTATTACAAATACTGCCTACCTAATAGGGCAGGCTGTATCACTTTTAGACCTGAAGAGAATCCATTTAAATCAATTTTAGAAATAATTTAACTTTTTTTCCACTAATAATTAATAAGAAATAACATTTTTATTAAGTATCCAGTTGATTTGATGATCATTGTTCAGCTGTACATCACCTGAATGAAAAAGAGCTTGGGTTTTCCTGCTAAACTTCTGCACCTGTCACCTCTGAAAAGGCTTGTTAGTGCTTTCAGTTCAAGAGGGCCATCTGTACCATAGATTAATCCTTCATCGCCATGGCTTAGCAACACACAAACAAAACTGCTTCGCTTGCTGTGGTCTTCTTCAGAAACTCAAAAGAAAAAAAGAGAATTATCTTAAATTCTTGCATATGCTAAAAGCTCTGAACATCTGATGCTTCCTATGTGACAGAAGTCTTCTAATTCTCATGTTTAGAAACTTTCCACGAGTTTTTACTTCTGAACAAAAGGAGCCAGCCTAACTTACTGCAGCAGGCTGGACACAGAAAACCCCAAAATAAAGGCCAACCCTACCCATTCTAGGACATGTCCACAGAACTGGGCCAGGAACTCTCTGAGGAGACGAAGAGGGTGTTCCCACAGTGTCTGAATGGTACACCTTGCTCATGCAGTAATGACCAAGAGTCTTGTGATCTGGGATCAGACTAATGGAAAGTTCTGAGTTTTGGGAAAGGATGGTGAAGTCCTGCCTCTCTTTCCAATCGGAGATGCTTCATCTACTTGGATTCCTCAGGAACTGAATGAAGCATGAAAATTGTTGCTGCTGCAGGGACTTGGGTACTAGCATTACCCTTCTCTCTCTCACTCTTGCCCTGTAGTAAGGTCTAGAAAGATTTTTCAAGCCTCTGAATTTTGTACTGAAAGACATTTAAGGTTCATATAAAGTGTCTTACAGAATTAAGGTTCATATAAAGTGTCTTACAGATTACAAAATAATCTGTAGATTTTTTTTTTCCATCTTGTGGTATGCAAAGAGCATAGAACAGATATTCTCTGATGCCTTCTGTTGCCTGACATTGCAGGGATTGTACTTGAGGACCAAGACAATTATTTTAAATATATGAAAAGATACAAACATCATTTAAAAGAAAGGTTCCAAAAGGAATTCTGAGTGGGAAACTCAAGAAGATGCAAGATTTTGTAGATGAAAAGTGTAACCATCTCAAAAGCTGAGGTCTTCTGTTAAAAGCTTGCCAAAACCCGGAATTTCTTTTCTGGAAAAACTGAGCTATTTAGATTTTTCTCAAGCAATTCACATTCAAGTATTTCTACAATCTACAGACAAACACTGCATCTAGAAGAGTCAGGAAAGGCTGTTTTTTTTGGAATCTCTAGTTAGGCTGCAATCTGTAGTTTAGACTATTTGGAGGCCTTATACCACAGGTAAGACAGGTGTTTCCACTTTCCGCTACTGTCAACAGACAAGCTGCAACTATACTAATGAATTATCCATGCCTGGGAGCATTCTCTGGCATAAATTGTTAACTGGCACTAAAGAACCTACATATATGTTAGCAAACACATTTAAAAAAAAAAAAAAAAAGACCAAACAGGATTGCTGCAGGCTAACTGGCTGTTGGGACTAATCCCAGGACCACTGTTACTGTGGAACTGTGACCTGGAACAGTCTGGGAGAGCACTAGCATGCCAGAGAACATTCCAACAGTTAACTAGAAGAGACTGTTTTCCAGGGCCACAGATACCTCCATACATCATTTAATTTACTGGTCTAGATGTAGCCAAGTCCAAACAAAGTAGGACTAACACAAACAGCAGTATAAAGCTCTTGACAGAAGGGTGTTTTGTTTCACAAGTCAAACAAACCACAAGTTGTTTCTCTAGAAGAAACGATGTATATCCAGTCCACACACTTGCAGTTCTGGTCCCTCAACCAGAACCCCCCCTGGATCAGAACACCTCTTGGGCCACACCACCAAGCATATAGCCCAGAACCCCTCCACTCAATTAAGCAAGTTTCTTTCCAATTCACAGAGCTTCAGTGATCCCAGGGTCAGAATATAAATCAGTCTGCATTTAAGTTTTAGCGTTTTTTCCATCCTTCTTCAGATGAGAAAGGATATAGAGACAACAGTCATGGCACAAAAGATGGAGAGATAGCAAAGATGAACAAACATAGAAACTATGATGTACATGCCATCCTTAGTAATAAACCACTGGTAGGTGTGAAATATCATCTAAAAGAACTATGGAAGAAGAGATGTGAGGGCTAGAGATATATTTGGAAACAGCAGTTGATTTAATACACTCACTGATCATTATATTACTTACCATTTTTCAATAGTTTAAAAATGTCCCTGCTTGAAAGATCATTGTTGATCTTTATTTTATAACCCAACTTCATAAAGACTTCTCTGACACTTGCAGCATCTGCATCTGTACCTGAACGGGGTAACATCCCTATACAGAAGAGAATGGTATTATTTTTTATATGATATAGATGGCATGGTCTCATTGAGTCATATTATTTTCTCACTTACATCTGTATCAGTTTGGAATATTATTCCATTATTCCAGACACACTCTAACAGAACAAACTATTACATATGCACATCATCTCCCTCTCTCTGTACCTATATTGTATATTTATCTGCTCCTTCTTCTTGTATCTACCTACCTAAAGACATAAAAAAGGATTTTATTTGCAAAATAGAAATCACGACTAAAAGGTAAAATGGACTTTTACTGCCTATCAATTTTTCTCCCCACTACTGCTATATCCTGCATGTTCTCTCTATGCATATTTGGAAGAATGCACTGAAATGAATCACACCCATTCAAACCACTTAATTTTCGATTGCAATCAAAATTAGTCTGCATATTTAATTTTGAAGAATAATACATGTCACTAGTTTATCTAAATTCAGGATAAAACTTCAACATTTGAAAGTGGTACCAGTCTGTCTGTGGAAGTTTTTATTGTTTATTATTACACATTCTCCCATCTCTGGATAATCCATTCTGTAACTGTAGTCTGGCAGAATTCCAGAGTCCATAGACTTGCTAGCAGGTAGGTTCCTTCTGTAGAGAAATCAGACAAAATTTAGGTATTAATCTCTCATCACTCTAGTTTCAAAATAATAATAAAATACAGTTATTTCAGAAAAAAAACCAATGAAACTGATAAGGTTTGCTTCTTGTCTTCAAGAAGTTCCTGCAGCAACCCAAGAGGTTGGAAGGTCCCTTCCAACCCAAACCATTCTGTGAATCTAAGTTACATCTGTGAAATCAGTTGGTAGATCTGACTTAAGGCTAGTGAAGACTGTACTTGCACAGATGTTAAAATAAAACAAACTACTTTGTAGAGTTATGCTCCCAAATAAAACTTTTGTTTCGAGTTGGTAAAATGTGCACATAGACAAGTAATTTAAAAAAAGTGGAGGGTCATTTGTACTTGTAGTAATCTTCCATGCAATCTTAAAATTTAAAGAATCAAGGAAGAACTGTGTCTAAAACGATAATGCCTCTGCACAGGAGAATATGAAAAATCAGCCTAAGGAAACCAATTATTATATCAATAAGAAATCAGTTGGATTTTTTTACTATCACCTTTTGAAAGCTATGTACCTGGAAACATGATCAGCTCCGAGATAGTAAATTCTAACCAAAAGTCATTTTACCATTGAATTTTCACAAGTAAGTATTCAAAACCTAGATAGACCAAGACTCTATACGCAGCTGTAATTCTGCCTTATGAGCACACCAAGTCAACGTTGTCTAGGCCTTTGGCACCGTTTCCCACAGCATTCTCCTGGCGAAACTGGCTGCTCGTGGCTTGGATGGGCACATGTTTTGCTGGGTACAAAACTGGCTGGATGGCCAGGCCCAAAGAGTTGTGGTGAACGGAGTTAAATCCAGTTGGCGGCTGGTCACGAGTGGTGTCCCCCAGAGTTTGGTTTTGGGATCACTCCTGTTTAACATATTTATTGATGATCTAGATGAGGGGATCGAGTGCACCCTCAGTCAGTTTGCAGATGACACCCAGTTGGGTGGGAGTGTTGATCTGCTCGAGGGTAGGGAGGCTCTGCAGAGAGACCTGGACAGGCTGGAGCCATGGGCTGAGGCCAACTGCAGGAGTTTCAATAAGGCCAAATGCCGGGGGCTGCCCTTGGGCCACAACAACCCCCAGCAGCGCTACAGGCTTGGGGACGAGTGGCTGGAGAGCTGCCAGTCAGAGAGGAATCTGGGGGTGCTGATTGACAGCCGGCTGAACAGGAGCCAGCAGTGTGCCCAGGTGGCCAAGAAGGCCAATGGCATCCTGGCTTGTGTCAGCAATAGCGTGGCCAGCAGGGACAGGGAAGGGATCTGACCCCTGTACTCGGCACTGGTGAGGCTGCACCTCGATTCCTGTGTTCAGTTTTGGGCCCCTCACTACAAAAAGGACACTGAGTGACTCGAGCGTGTCCAGAGAAGGGCAATGAAGCTGGTGCAGGGTCTGGAGCACAGGTCGTACGGGGAGCGGCTGAGGGAACTGGGGGTGTTTAGTCTGGAGAAGAGGAGGCTGAGGGGAGACCTCATCTCCCTCTACAGCTGCCTGAAAGGAGGTTGCGGAGAGCTGGGGATGAGTCTCTTTAACCAAGTAACAGGCAATAGGACAAGAGGTAATGGCCTCAAGTTGCATCAGGGAAGATTTAGACTGGATATTAGAAAGCATTTCTTTTCAGAACGGGTTGTTAGGCGATGGAATGGGCTGTCCAGGGAGGTGGTGGAGTTCTCCATCCCTGGAGGTGTTTAAGAGTCAGGTTGACATAGTGCTAAGGGATATGGTGTAGTTGGGAACTGTCAGTGTTAGGTTAATGGTTGGACTGGATGATCTTCAAGGTCTTTTCCAACCTAGACGATTCTGTGATACACCACCACTCATGACTCTGCAATGGCTGTCAATTTTAGTTAGTCCATATATACTGAAGCTGGTATAGATTTTCTCATTTAAGCATATGGGTAAGTTAAAAGATTGGGGCCCGCTATTGTATTCTACAAATAAAAAAAAAGTAATGCTTTTAAATCTAATTTTCATTGAAATATTGAAAAGAATGACTTCAGAAACAAGTTAAGTTCCCAGAGAGAACATAATCTGATCGATAGTGCTACACCAGTGTAAAAACTAGCTGTCACCAGGAAGAACAGGCCTGTGTTTACCCCCTCCCACCCCTGTAAATTCCCCTTGCACTTGTGCTTCCACACATATAACCCTAGAGTAGGTCAGCTCAAGCAGCTGAACTGACTGCCACAGGTTCAGCTGCTTCAATCTAGAAGCAGTTAAAGGAAAGGGGTGAACATTTAGCCCAGGGTGAGACAGAGAAGTCTCTTTTCAAGAACAGCTTAACCACTTGATAATACTGTAAGCCAAGTCTAAGCGCACCTCAAATGTTTTGCATTTTAGTTTCTTGTACATACACGTGGCCTGTTCTGTCAGAGGCTGTATGTTTTCAAACTCAGTACAACAACTCTAGTAGTTGTTTATGATTATTATAATTTATCATAATCTAAACTTTTCATTTTGGCATTGTTTCTTCCATGGCTCTCGCTTTGTGTTATAATACAAGATTCTGCAAGACTTAAATTGAAGACTTAAACCAAAATCACCTCACTTACCCTTTGGAAGCAGGAATAGATTTTGCATCTGCCAGATCTTCCCTCGAATGTGGCCCATCTCCTGTGGCTGCCATTATGGCTCTCAGTTATCAGCTTGAAAACATAATAAAATAGAAATTTATGACAGTTAATTTTCATATGAAATAATACCTTCAGAATGCTTAATTTTTTGTTAGGTTTCCTTAAAGCCTTAAATAATCAGAGAACATTTTTTTAGAGAAAACAGGAATGTTAGAAGGGGATATTCACCAGAATAATTAGCCTAGGAGCATTAGTATTGGTAGGCAAAAAAGATAAATTCTGAGTAATCCCTACATATCTTATATTTGAAAGAAGAACATGAAATATTTTTCTAAATTATTGCATTCTAAAACAGCTCTGGGAAAAATAGTCTGCAGATCCCTGTGACTAAATAACTGAAAATGCCTACAAAAAGCAGGATAAGAGACAAGCAAATTGAAAACAATCTTTAAAATATTGTAATGTCCCTACATGCATTAGTAGCATTTTAATATTCTAACTATCATGTCATATACGGATCCTTCCATCTGACTAATACAGAAATTGAGATCTAAAACCAACCAGTACAAGTTATTGGATATGTGCAAAGACTAACACAGAAGATTAGAGAAATAAATAATTCCTCTGCATTCCGTTTCAAATGAAACATCACTGCATCCAGTCCTAATTGGTGTATGTGAAGGCAACCGCAATATAAATAACAGAAAACCACAACAATGTTAACTTTAAAGAGTTGATGAAATGATGAAACTCTATGCTGTGGGCTGCTATTTACTTCTGATCAGAACACAGGACAAGAAATGATGATTGATACCAAGCCAGAAATCAATTTAAAAGCAATAAACCTCCCTCCCAATTACTCTTGTGTATACTCATGGAACACATTACTACAAGGTACCTTTAACTCACGATTCAGAAAAGGATTAAGCATCATAAAGTTAAATTGCCAGATAGGACAAAGTAATATGCTTATAAATGAAATAAGTGCTTTGACCTCAAGAAACAAACAAGGCACTACAAGACAAGAATTTTCAAGAAACTTACTTAGCAGGTATATTTGTGGTAAGTAGGGATGTATAAATAACCAGACCAAGTAGTAAGATTTGCTGGTCTGAGATGAGACTTAGGTTCTTTGGTGGCAAACTATATTTGCCATCCTACATCATCATATTGTATTATCTCTTAAACTTCATATCTGTACTCTAGCTAGTACATCATGAATTCTATTTTCTGTGGAAACAACTACTGATTCATCAGAAGCACTAACCTGGGTATGTATAACTCTCCTTGTTTCTTAAAAGACATTTACTTACATTTTTAGTGACTTCAAAAGATCTTCCAGGTTACTCTGAATACTATTTCTTTGTATCTTGGAGCACTGATGTAATTTAGAAGTCTTCTTGCTCATAAAATTATTCCAGTCTTGAGAGCTCTATCATGTAAAATAGCAGCACACAGAAAAGTTCCTGAGAATCAAATTATAGAAGTATCAAATAAGCTTGATTTTCTAAAATACATGATTGCTTTATATTTAAGAAATTCACTTTAAAGATAGTATCATGGGTCTGGAACTACAACTATGATGCTGAACTTGCCTGCCTAGCACCATGATCTGGATTCATTCATACTAACTTCAAAGTCTAATTCCTTAGAAGTTCCCTATGTGAAAAAAAGATAAGCACTTGTGCAAAGGGTAGTTCAAGTACCTAAGACCCGTGGCATGACAGTGTCCCAACCCTATGCCTTATCACTGGGCAGGGGGCATTAGCATTGACAACTGTCGTGGTTTGCGCTCAGAGGGCAACTGAGCACCACGCAGTTGCTCACTCCCCCCTTCCCCCTAGTGCTGGGAAGGAGAGAAGCAAGAGGCCCAGGAACTTGAGATAAGGACAGTGAGGAATGATCTCATCCTTCAAGGCACAGGCAAAAGACAGACTCGTTAGAGGAAGAAAAAACAAACATAGAATTTAATACAGACACTAACAACAGCAACATGTAATAGACAGAGAAGGACCATGAGAAGCATTACCACATCTTGAAAACAACTTCCCCCATCCCTCCCTTCTTCCAGGGCTCAACTTTGCTCCCGATATCTCTACCTTCTCCCCTCCAGTGGCACAGGGGGAAGGGAACGGGGGGTGCAGTCAGTCCCGCCACTTTTTCCACCTCGGGAGGGGTAGAACTTCTGGCATTCCTCCCCAGCTCCAGCACAGTCCTCCTCTCACAGGAGACAGTCCTCCACAAGCTCTCTGACATGAGTCACTCCCAAGGGTGTGTGGGTCACCCCTATGTGCTGCAATCCTCCTAGCACTGAGCTACAACAGTGGGGCCTTCTTCCCATGGGGTCCAGGCACCTGTGGGTTGGCGTGAGGCCCCCCACAGGCTGCAAATTGGTATCTGCTCCACTGTAGACCTTCATGGGTGGTAGGGGGGTGGACCTGCCTTCTCACCATGGGATACAGGGGTGTCTCTGCTCTGGTGCACCTCCCCCACTGCTCTTTTCTTCCACTGACCTCGGTGTTCACACAGATGTTCTCCTCTCGACACTTCCTCACCACTTCTCCCAGGTTCCCTTTCTTAAATATGCTATCACAGAGGCACGGCTCCCATCGCTCATTGATGCGGCCTTGGTGCAAAGGCAGGTCCAACTTGGAGCCAGGGGAGCTTTGAGAAGCTTCTCACAGGGGGCCACCAATGTAACCCCCTCCCCTGCTACCAAAAAACCCCACCAATCACTCAAATGAGGGGCACAACAAAATCTAGTCTAGAGTGACAATTGGTGTGTCCACTCAGCTGTAACTGAAAAGCAGAGCTTCTGATCCCTGGGAGGTGGAAAGTAAGGCTTTCATTGATAAGAATGCTAGAAGTGCCCCTGCCCCAGCAGAGCCCATCTTACAGGGGTTTCTATGCTTCTTTCAACACTGTCCCTATCACAATCATCCTTGGCTTTGGTTCCCAGCTTTCCTGAGCTCTTAGCCTGACACTTTCGAACAAAACTTTTCTTTGTAGGAAAACATTCAACCAGACTAACCCATAATTTTGATGCAACTCATGCTGATCATTCTTCTGGAGAAGCACAACCAAACCCTTCACTGTGGCTGGGACTAACAGGAGAGACAGGGAAAAGTTAACTATCTTGTCTGGTTTTTGTCTGCCAACGGTAATGAAGAACTACACCATCTAAAAAACCACAGTATCACATACCAACTCCATTATCGAAACTCGCCAGCAGGAGTGCTGAGAGCAGTGTAGCCATGTCAGCGTGGAATTCAACTTCTGCTAAAAGCCCAGGTGTTTATCCCAGCTGTCTGGCACTGTGAAGATCTGCAGTGCCAGCACTGCAAGTACACAAACCAGCTAGTGTAAACTAGTAAACGTGTGCCTACGTGAGCTGTGGTTACCTCCTGTCTCTCATATGAGCCAGCCTGGGCTACCAATAACTCCTTAGAGAAAAACACATCTAAAGTATAGGGAAAACCACCAACAGATGAGACCTTGGAATCATTAGGCTGCCTTGGATTCACACCAGGTGTGCTCCAATCAAACTGTTGCATCCCATTAGGGACTGGTTTTTAGTAAACTGGTGGGAATAACACTGGTAAACAGCAGCAGACTTAGTAGGCAAACTGGAGCCCTAACAGACTGGGAACCACCGAATGCTTCTATAACACAAATATTAAAGCATGCTGCAAACAGTAAGAGAGACCTTCAATATTTCAATGACCTTAAATACTTACCTCCTTGACACTTTTGCAACCTTAAAACTTGAACACTGCTTTCCTTGATCCAATGCCAAAGAAACAATGAAATTTGAAGTAGCAGTTAGCAAAACCTACAACTACAATGAACTACAGTATTTTGTTTCTGAAAAACGTAAGCCACATTTTTAATACCATATCATAAATATATTTCTTACTAAAGCCTCTGCATGTCTAGCTGACAGCTTACAGTTTAAATTGTTTAATGAAGTGTTAGAGCTTACTGCACTCTACTGCACCACAGCTGGAGATTGTCTGAGTGTTTACAGAAGCGAGAGATAGTGAAGAAAAACTGTGTATAATACGATAGTATTTAAAAATACAGATGCTTTATCTTCAGGATAGAATCTGTAACTGACCTTTAAGATCCATCAATTTCCGAGCACCTTAAAGCACCAAGTCACCTGCACTTCCTTAAAGAAAAAAAGACATCCACAAAGAGGTATCTGTTTTGTTGCTAGGCACTCAAATGCACGTTTTAATCTGCAGCATGTTTTCTGCTCTAAAGCACTAGTCAGAGTAACAGAAACATCTCTCGAGGACAGTGCTGATTCTAACAGACTACTAAGAATTGCCTCATCTTGGTTTAGGTAATGCAATGATGTCATGTTCTGTCAAGCAGAATACATTCCCTGTAGAGGATGAGCTCATGCTGTTAGGGATAGGGGAAAAAAATCGGGACAATGAAGTAAGAATTTAATTTTAAATTGTTATTCTGCTCCTTGATACTCTTTTCTCTGAAAGCTTAGGTAAGATGAGCTTTCAACTGTAAGGAAACTTAAAATATAAGTAGCTGAAATGAGCAACAGCATTTTTCTAATCTAGCAGACTATGTTCTGTAGGTTTTAGGAAACTTATTTTACAATATTTTATCAGAAAAAAATACAAAGTTTTTGAAAAACCCGATGAGACAGAGATAGTGAATATAAAGATGATGCTACAATGACATTTACAGGTACTGAGTAGTAAAAAATAAAGTGGTTCAAAAGGTCCAAAACTATGCTATCATGCATTGATCCAAGGTTTTTCTTTTGATAGGAAAATGATAAATAAAACAACGTTTTTACTCCATTTCAGCCTGGATTTACTTATTCTGTCTGGACGTAATGAAAATAAATTCACATCATCATGTATCACCACTACCATAAGAACTATCAGGTTTCTTTTTAAAGCAGTATTTATTTGAATTGTGATCCAACAATAGAAATATTGTGGTAAAATAATACAAAAGCTTCTCAGAGAAGGAAGCAAAAAACTGAATTGTGTCTAGTTACCAACTGTATCTTGAAATATGCAAACCACAGGAGACAAGACAACACATGTTTGGTATGTCAGCTGCTACAAAGCAATTGATTGTAGCAGAATTAAAATACATGTCCAAAACAGAAACCAGCACTGTAAGACATGTCCTTAAAGATTAGAAAAGGGCAGTTTTCCACCTCACATGACTGCAAGAGAAGATGTCAAGCATTCAAAGAAGGTCTTTTATGTACATAAATATATACATGGCACATTGCAATACTAATGCAGACATGCAAATTAAGTTTTTCATTCTACAATATATAACGATAACCAATAATTATCTAATTAATAAGGGAAGGAAAACATAGAAGCTGACTGTATGAAAAAAATAAAAATATTTGAACTATACCATTAAATTTTCTGTGTGGCATTATCCCCTTGTTAAATACTGCTACCACTGATGGAAACATGCCAATATTGTGACAGCCCTTCACATTCCTTTTGGTCTGGAAGTGGCTGTTGGAAAGCACTGACACTGGGCCAACACGCTGATCTTCCAAAAGCAAACAAACTTTTACTTAGCAGCATTAATCTGCAAAATCAGCAAAACCTGAATTTATTCTGAGAGTAGGTGGGACCTTTCCTTATTCTTTCACCTGTACTTAGTAACCACATCACCACTGCAACAAATACTGAGGAGCCTGACAAGGCTATTACGGGCAAGCTGTGTTATTTTCAAACCTACCAACTGACAAGAAGCAAATAATTAAAGAAGATAATTACTAGCTAGAGGGTAAAAGATTAGATTACCAGCACTATCCTTCAACCTAGCAGAGATCAGACTGACAACACCTTGGACAGGGCCTTCTACATACTACAAAAAGTTAGTCACAGCGCCTGTGAGGGCCTGGCAGGATCAGTAGAGTAGAGGCGACGGTCCACACCACTGTGACCCCATCTTGGGGTGATGCCTCTCAGCCGTCGCACACTCACTCTTTGTTAGCAGCCAGGTCGCTGCAGAGCCGTCTTCCGGATGAGGTTTAACCCGCTATATCCAAAGCTTTATTTTGGGAGATCCAAATGCAGTTTAAGGCCCTATTTCCAGTTAGCTAACAGTCTATGGGAGGGACACCAGAAAGCAGTTTAAAATTGGAGATTAAGGGAGAGGACTGGAAACAAGGTGAAAGGAGGGATTGCATGGTGTAATGAGACAGAGGAAGCTGCTTTAGTTTGAAGCTAAAAGAGAAAGCAACTGGTGATTTATGCTAAAAACCTGGCAGGAAGCACATGTCAGTTTTACAGCAGGCCCCACTGGTAAAGGGGCAGTTGAACTATCTTTTTATTTTTGGGTTATGTGATGAAAGCTTGTCTGCACACCCACAAAGGTGCACAGAAAGACAAGGGCAGGAGGCAAAGCTTAAATAATACATTGCCCTGCAGGGCTACTCCCAGGCACATGGCAGGAGCCATCAGCCCATCAATGGCTCATCTCCACAAGCCCAGACTTGCACAGGAACACAAATTACGGACTTGGGGCAGGGATGGGCACCCTGTGTGGGCTCCTCCCAGAGCTGTCCCAGGAGAGCCTCAGCCCCAGGACTCAGGTGTAAAACCCATCAAGGTGAGTCAATGCAGGAGCACATTCATGTCATGGTGGGGCCCATCATGGGTTGCAGGGGAAGAGCGTTTGGGGATTGCACAGGATTTATTATGGGATGTTTAGGGAAAGAACCAAAGGCAGGGAAAGGGGTGGATTTAGATGATTTGGGGAGGACCAGCTGGGGAAAATAGAGGTGTAAGGTGATAAAAAGGGCTGGTCACACATAAGTAATTTCCTGGTCAATATGCTTGTCTGGCCATGCCCTGAGCCTGAGCAGCACAGTGACTTACTAAATTCTGGTTTAACTTCCTGAGTGGGGGACTCTGCTCTGTATGTGTCCATGACAGGGCCAAGTGCCACCACCTGGAGTCAGAGCACTGGTGTCTCTGTGGCACAGTGACTGGAGTGACCTGATTTATGGGCCAGCAACGGGAGTAGCACCGTGGGTCACAGTGGCCCATGTGCCCATGGTGCCAGCACCTGGAGCAAGCACAGATCTGCATTCCAGCATCTGGGCTGGGACCATGGGCTGAAAGGCCTGTGCACCAGTGACCAGGGAGACCCAAGTGGGTGGGACCAAGTGCCAGCCCCAG